TTTACAGAAACTTGTTCTACAGCATCCCTGAGAAGAGGACATCCTCTGCGTAGAGACCTCCAGTGACTGGGGAGAACACAAAACAGCCCATCCCACTTTGGAACAACACTAATTATTTATCCAGCCGAAATGTACCACCGCAGGTTTTACCCACTGCTCCCTGTTCTTCCCTCTTTGGCCAAAAAGAACAAGACTAACCCCTTTTCCATGAAACAGCTGTTCAAATCCATGAAGTCAGCTATCATCCCCACTTCCAAGAAGACCCTCAGTCTAATTCTGTTCTTCAGGCTAACGGTCCCCAGTTCCTTCAACTGAGCCACATATGGTAGAGTCTCTGTCCGCTCACCATCTTGGCTGACCTCCTCTGCACCTGTTACAGTCTATAAATGTCCTTCCTACAATGTGGCACCCAGAACTGAGTATAGCACTCCAGATATAGTCTGACCAGGTCAAAGTACAGCTGAAATGCCAGCCTCTCTTCTGCTAGACGCCGTGTCTCTCAAGAATCTAGCATAAGATCACGCTCACTTTGGGGGCTGCCACACCCCTCTTTTGGTGACTCACGATACACTTGCCGCACCCTAAAATAACGAGGGCATTTTTCACACAACCTGTCGTCCTCCATCTTTGTCTTTGTGTGGTTAGCTTGGTGGTGGCATTTTTTTTGGTTTGGGTTTTTTTTTTTCTAACTCAAGTGTAGAATTTTACAGTTATCCCAATTCAATTGTATTTATTATCCCATTTTGTCTCATCATTCAACTATTATTTAGTGTTTGCCATATTCCAGGCACTGCGTAAGGCACTGAGAATACAAGTGCAAAGAATAAAAACGAATTCTCAAGGAGTTTACATTCTAATAGGAAAGATAAAGGGTATGTAAATATATACACAAAAAATACATGTAAATACAGAATAAATATAAAGAGAATAAATCCAAATAAATACAAGGTAGTTAAATACAGGAGATTTAAGGAAAGAAGGCACTAGCAGTTGGGGGCATGGGGAGACAGGGAAAGGAAGAGAGAATATGCATTTATCTTTTTGTGTGGTCAAATTATTTTATTAGTGGGATATGTGATTAAAATAGTTTAGAGACCACTGTTCAACAGGTGTATGAAGCTACCTGGAGCAGAGCTTGCAGATGCCTTTTTGTGAGACACCTGGAAACCAGGATTGGTGATTAGAGAATATGCATTTATTAAGCACCTACTATGAGCCAGGCCCTATTACTCATTTTACAAATATCATCCCCATTGCTCTTCACAACAACCCTGTGAGGTAGGTGCTATTATCATCCCCATTTTACAGTTGAAGAAACCAAGGCAGACAGCAGTTAAGTGACCTGTCCAGAGTCATACAGCTAGTGAGTATTAGGGGCCTGATTTGAACTCAGGTCTTCCTGACTCCAGGCCAAGCATGTTGACCATCAAGCTGGACGAGATTTACGTAGAAAGTAGTATGTGAGCAATGTCTTGAAGGAGGAAAGAGGTGATATGAAATGGAAGTGAAGAGGGAATCCATTCTAGGAACAGGGGACAGCAGTACAAAGATGCAGAGACACGTGTGCAGTGTATGAGGAATAGCAAAAAGGCCAGTTTGCATGGATCACAGAGGACAGGGGGAGAGTCAGGGACAGGGGGAGAGTCAGGAACGGAGGGACTGGAGAATAGGCTGGGGCCCAGCTGTGATAGATTTTAAAACTAAATGCAGGAGTTTATTTTTTTTTTAATCCTAGAGGCAAAGGGGACCAAGTAGCTTATCAGGTAGAGGCATGCCATGGTTAGATCTCTGCTTGAGGAAGATCACTTTTTGCAGCTATGTGGAACAGACTTGAGTCTGGAGAGATCTGAAGCAAGGAGGTCAACAAGGAAGTGGCTAAAATGATCTAAGCAAGAGTTGATGAGGATCTAATCTAAAGAGATGGACCCTGACTCTGTCATCAATGAGCTAACTGGCTGGGTTACAGCACTTCAAAGACAGGAACTGTTTCCCTTACATCTTTGTAACCCCAGTGCCTAGCACAGTGCTTAGCACACAGTAGGTGCTTAATAAATCCTTATTAATTGATGTCAGCTGTTCCATTGATCTTAGATTTTGATAAGTATGACATCTACACCTTTATCCAAGGCACTGTTAATTAATGTTGACTAGCACATGGCCAAGAAGAGAATCTGAAAGCACTCCTTGAGAACACACCCTTGAAATTGATATCAGTACAATAATGGCAGTTCTCAGCTTCCAGTCATTTCATCAGCTCAGAATCTTCTTAAATGTACTATCACCCATTCTAGCCCATGCATCTGTATCGCTGAAGGTATTAAAGTGAAAGCTGACTACCATTTTCCAGTAATGAGGTAGAAAGAATTCTTGTTTGGGGACTGGGAGTGAGGGATTAGACAAGGTTATCTCTGAGATCCCTTCCAAATGTGAGATTCTATGATTCTACATCAAAAAACCAAGGCATCATTTGTGGGAATTATTTCCTTTGCCAATAATATGAAGAGCCCAAACTATGTTTGGCTTCTGACTTTCTAGTCTGCCTACTCGGAATTTAACACTCCATCAGTAAGCATTTATTAAGCACCTACTATGTACAGCTAGGCGGCACAATGGACAGTACCAGGCCTGTAGTCAGGAAGATGTGAGTTCAAATCTAGACTCAGACACTTACTAGCTATGTGACCCCAGGCAAGTCATTTAACCTTGTTTGCCTCAGTTTCCTCAACTGTAAAATGAGCTGGAGAAGGACACAGCAAACCACTCCAGCATCTTGGCCGAGGAAATCCCAAATGGGGTCACAAGGAGTCAGACACGACTGAAAGGACTAAACAATAACTACACGTGTAATGTGCCCTATCATCTTAAGCAGCAGGGATATAAAGGACACAATAACAGGGAGAGGGGAAGGAAAAGGGAAAGGGGGAGGGGGAAGGAGAGAGGAAGGAGAAAGAGGAGAAGAAAAGAGGGAAAGAGGGAGAGAAGGACAAGGGCAAGGAGGAGAATGAGAGGGAGAAGAGGACTGAGGATTGAACTCTGGGGAACACTCACAGTTAATAAGGATAAATAATAAGGATACAAATTACAGGTATATAGGATAAATTAGCAAATGAGACTTAGATGGAGTAGCCAGTAAAGAAGGAAGAAAACCAAGAAAGCGCAATGTCACAGCCACAAAAGAAAAGAGAATATCCAGAAAGAAAAGGAGGTCAATGATGTCAGATGCTACAGGAAGATCAACAAGCATTAGAATTAAGAAAAAGCCATTAGCTTTGGCAATTAAAAGACTGTTGCTTGGAGAGAGCAGTTTTAGCCAAGTCCTAAGATCAGAAGCCAGACTGCTAAGAGCTGAGATGTGAAGGAAAGGAAGTAGAAGCAAAGAACACAATCGGGTTTTTTTTTAGGAGTTTACTGCAGTGAGGGGCCAAGTTTAGATCAAAAAACCAAATCTGTAGTGGACCCAGATGGATCAGTTGCATGACTTCCTCCAGCTCGATTTAGCAGCATGTGAGCAAGAGTAAAGGCAAATGGCAAGAGGAATCCAGAGTTGGGGTTTGATGAGGCATGAGTGGCAGAAGGACAGGGGAGAGTGCTAGGGCATGCCCATCTTTTGTGTGGATAAGGCGGACTGGAAGAGTAGGCATGGACTTGAGTAGATGGAGTAATTGGGGGGTAAGAGCATTGAAGAAGTATTAACAGTTATGTTAGAATCCCTTAGAATAAGGACAGGAGCAGGGGAGAAGAGAAGACAGTGAACTAAGCTCCCTCCTCAAGAGAGCAAGAACAACACAGCTAGCAAGCACCTTCGTTAGCCAGTTATTCAATATTCTAAGACGTCACTCAGGATACTGACTTCATATTTTTTTTGACGTGATCACTAATGTAATGTGAAAAAACAACTTTTAGCTACTAATGATTTTTTGCAAAAAGTGAGATGTTTTTACCAAGTCAACAGTGCCAAAATCACTTGCACTATTAAGGTAATGAACATTACTGTATTACTTTATACTACTAATGTGCAGCAGAGCAAACATGTCAACGGCAAAAATAAAATGTTAGAAAAAGTTCTCTCATCATTCCATACTTACACAGGGGATCTTACTTCAATCAAATGGACCCTCACTACAGCCCTGTCCTGGTGGTCTCTGACAAGGGACTTTTATTATAGATGAGATCAGTCAAGCATGGCTGCACAAGCATGCCACTAGAGGAGGCCAAATTTGCTTAATCGCTTGAATTTAGAAGTTCTGAGCTGCTGTAGGGCTAAAGCCAATAGGGTATCTTCTTTAAGCATGGCAATAATATTGTAAGTCCCTGAGAGCAGAGGACCATCAAGGCAGACTAAGGAGAGGTGAACCTCTATAAGAAAAAGAAACAGGTTAAAATTTCTGTATCAATCATCACTGAGACTGGCTGCTGCACTTAGAGTAGGATGGAGAAATGGAAGGATGAAGGGAAGGAGGGAGAAATGGAGGAAAGGGGTGAGAGAAAGGAAAAGAGGGAAGGAGGAAGGAAGGAAAGAGAAAAATTGAAATAAAAGAAAAGAGAGCAAAGCAAGAAAGAGAAGAAAAAGACAAAGAAGAGAGAAGAAAGAGAGAAAGGAAGGAGAGATAAAAAAGGGAGAGGAAGGAAGGAAAAAGGGAAGGAGAGAGAAAAGGAGAAAGGAAGAAAGACAAAGGAAGGAGAGAAAGAAAAAGGGAGAGGAAGGAAAGAAGGAAGGAAGGAATAGACAATAGGGAAAGGAAAGAAGAGGAAAGGGAAGTAGAAGGAAAGATCTTATAAGGAGTTTCTTTTCAATATTTGGAAATTAAACTCTTATAGGCAGAGAACCCTAAAGGGAGTGTGCATTAGAATGAAATCTATCCCACAAGTATACCAGGGTTCCATAGTAGTAGTAGTAAACTGACTTAGTAACCCTAAGACAAAACAAACACAGAACTGCCTGTTCCATGATGAACACCCTTATTCACATGTTCTAGGACAAGATTAAGATGTGACCTCACCTTTCCACTTCCCCCTCTGGCACAGACTTCTTCTCAGGATGTTGTTCATTTTCCTTCAAAAATACTTCATCCTCTCCACCTTCTATAAGCAATCCTGGAGAAAATGTCCCTGATCTAGTTCCAAGCCTTTCTGAAGAATCTTTCCAAGGTTCATCCCAAACACCCTCCGTCAACCTGACTGAAGGAGAGAAAGCCACAGACAGAACAGGATGGCTTGACACTTTGGAAAACTCCTTGCTTTTGGAAAAGGCTGTCCTTTCCACAGACGCCTCCACCTCTGCTGAGGAACGTCTCATTTCTTCCTCCTCTCCCCCCGTCCAAAGAATCTCCACCCCATGAAATCCTACGTGTTTGATCCTGCCAGAGCGGCCTGTGGAGCTCCCCTGCTCTACAGGCGACCTGTAGACCGTACCTCGATCACATCCCGGATGCTTCCTTCCCACATCAGACCATTTTTCCCCTGTAAAGCTAATGGTGCCCTCTACATTACGGGCCACTGCTGATTGCTCCACAGAGGTCTTCTGGCAGATCATCTCCTGCCCTCTGGCAGTCTCTTTTTTCCCATTCTTCGTGATTTGGGAAAAGGCTGGCTGGGTTTCCCCAGTTAATAAGGCAGTCAAATCCTTCTCAATACTCAAATAAAAATTTTCCTCAGTTATTAGTTCAGCTGGAAGAGGTATTTCTGGTGGTTTTTCTTGGCCAGCGGTAGCTGGTCTCTTGGCTCCTCGTGCTTCCCGGCGGGTGGCAGTCGACTCTTTTTCCATTCCCCGGGCCGACGAAACAGAAATCACATCTCCTTCTAGTACCTTTGGTGCCTGCAGTCCCCCTGAAGCCACGCTAGATTCTGCAGTGTTCAGCGCTGGGGCCAGGGAGCCAACGGGCTGTGGCAAGCTTGGTTCCTGAAGGTGTCTACGTGAGGATGCTCCCCCCTCATGATTCAGTCCCCCTGCAGTCGGGCTGTCAAGACCAAACTGGGGGCCAACCAAGAGCTGGCCCCCCTCCCGCCCCTGTGCGTAGCACTGTTGACTCTCGGCATCAAATTCAAGTGAAGCTCTGAGGACTTCTCCCCTTTCTTCCATGGTCCCATATTCTGTAAATTCATTGGTGACATTGGGTGGGAGTAAAGTGCTTCCTCCATGATCGCCTACAGAGAGAACAGAAAAGTCTCATGACTTATTTTGAAAGAAAAAAAAAATCACATTCTACAACTTATTCATCAGCCCTCCTGCCCAACATACACACAGTTGACACACTACAAATTCATGATTTGCTTATTTTAATACCCTTCCTTTCTCACTCCATAACCTTGCCAGTGGCATCCTCTACTTACCCTGAGATGAGTTCAACCCCAAAACAGTTTTTAGTTATAATCACTCAACAACAATGATAACTAATATTTATAAATTGTTTCATAGCTTATGAGCTACTTCATTCATAATAATCCTATGAGGTAGATAGTTCCAACATTATTAGGCCCATTTTAAAGATAGGGTTTACTGCTTGGGATAATGGGGCAATCTAGTGATTCAAATCCTATTCAAACCTTACTCCTGATAGATAAAGGAGCCTGTTCCTCAGGATGCTCCATAATGTCTAAGGAGATTAATGACATTTATAGTCGCTCCCATCTAAATCTATGATTTTATATCAAAATGTATCAAATACTTAGCCCACAGAATAGTCGTAGGTTTAACTAAATTGTCATATACCATCATATACTTCACAGAAGAGCCTAGTTCAACTCAATCAACAACCTTTATACAACATCCAGTGTGAGCAGAGCCCCAAAGAAAAGGTGGAATCTATTTAAAGTAAACAAATATTGCCTCTGTCAGAACTCTCCAACTGGATGTAAAGACAACCTTTCCAAAACTCTATGAGAGGATGAATAAATCCAAAATGTCAATAAAATTTGGGGGCACCAAAGGGTCCATTTGTACACATTTCTAGAGTCCAGACTGTACAAGATTCCCTGGTAGCTCTGAAATAGACTATTGCCTGTTTCTTAGGATTAAATTTTAAGGGCACTTGACTACTGATAAGGAAGGGGACTAACATTTACTTTACAAACCTTTTCAAAATGTACAATAGAGTTGAGAGTTAGCTCTGGCTGACAAAGCAACTAGTTATTAGCATGTGTCACCTCTCTGTTCCTTCAGAAATGTGAAAATGATTGGATAGTGACCGAGGATACCTCTCCCCACCCACCTGGGTGGACTCTGGTTGGTTAGAGGTAGTTAAGACACAAGGCCAAGGGCCAACTAGTGTTGGCCTATTCCACTGCTATAGGCTAAACATCTAACCTTAATATCACAAACATGTTATCAGGTACTAGAAGAATTATGGAAAGGAGAGGGAGAGGGAGAGAGAAAGGGAGAGAGAAAGAAGAGAAGGTGGAGGAGGAGGAGGAGAGAAAAAAGAAAAAGAAAGGGAGGGAGGGAGAAAAAAGAAAAACAAAGAAAGAAGTGAATAAATGAATAAATAAATGAGTAAATAAAGCATGTATGGATCACTTCATCTTCATCTGGAAAAGCAACTCAAGGATATAACAGCATTTTAGAAATGGTGAATAAATAATTAGCCTCCTTTTTCAAGACAGTATTATTTTGGGGAAATATCTGAAAAGATTATTAAATGACTAACAGTCTTCTTCTACATTTCAGCTATCTCAAGTTTGTCTTCTGGCTGGAAGCTTCAGTTATGGCAGAAGTCGCTGCAGTTTGTAATGAGGCCTTTTTCTCTTCCATCTGCCCAAAGTCTCTGCCTCCCTGGTAGCTACAGGACAGGACAGTTTGACAGCTTCTGTTGCTCTGGCTGCTATACTCACAGAGCATGTGAACATGTAGTGGTTAGGAATTATTGAGGTAAGGAATAAGAAGTGAAGCAAAGACCAAATCTCTCAGGGACATCACCCAGGAAGAAAAAAAAATCATAAAACAATTAAGGAAATGAGTTTGTGTACTCCTGGAGAAGAGGCTGTTGGGTAAAACAAAGTCTACTAATCACTACCTCCCAGCCCCCTTATCTAACTCTGCTTCTGAGCCAGCGAGGTGACAAAGCGTTAGACACAGAGTAAGGAGACCTGAGCTCAAATACAGCCTCAGACATTTATGAGCTGTGTGACCCTAGGTCACTTAGCCTCTGTCTGCCTCACTCTCCTCATTTGCTAAAATGGGGATAATATTAGCACACACCTTACCAGGTTGTTGTGAGGATCAAATGAGATAACATATATGATACACTTAGCAAACTTTAAAGTGTTATAGAAATGTTTATAAGTAAAAAATAGAAATATTTTTATTTATATAAATGTTACATAAGACACAATAGTTATTACTTTCATAATTATTATCATTTTTATCAATTCCTAAGATTTTTCAAAATTTTAAGAACAGAAACTGGAGTTCCTAGTGCAAAATACTGCTATAGAACACTTGTGTGAAAATAAACACATAGCCTGGTGACAAACAAAGCTAATACCTTTTGTCACTGCTTTATATATGCTAGATTCCCACTTCATTCAAGAAGTTTCAATAGACTTGCCAACTGTTATAACAAAATTGGGTGCAGAGGATAAAGCACAGGGCTTAGGATCAGGAAGACTCATTTTCATAAGTTCAAATTTAGCCTCAGACATTTACTATGTGTCTCAGTTTCTTCATCTGCAAAATGGCAAACCATTTCAGCATTTTTGCAAAGAAAACCCCAAATGGGGTCACAAAGAGTTGGACACAACTGAAAAACGACTGAACAACAAAAATCCACCTAAACAAAAGTACTCTGGCAAAGTCTTCAATAATTTTGTAAGAATGTGAGGGGCTGCTAGGTAGCACAGTGGATAGAGCACCAGCCCTGAAGTCAGAGTTCAAATCAAGCCTCAGACACTAGCTGTGTAACCCTGGGAAAGTCACTTAACTCCAATTACCTAAAAAGAATATGAAGCAATCCTGAGATCAAAAAGTTTGAGAAACATTAGCCTAACGGAGTCCTTTCTTTCCCTACTCTCTCCATTCTCCCCTCACCAATAATAATAATAACATTAAATTAAGAAGAATAATTGTACAGCTTTAGTAATGCTAACTGAATTTAAAAAGCATGCATCGTATGGAGAAGACTACAAGGAAGTCAGGATACAATCACTCAATCACATATTGAGTATCACTCATGCATATAAGGCACTATGTAAGTTACAAAATGGAATAAAATATGTACAGATTATAATTATAAATTGGTATGTATACCATACCAATGCTGACTTATGAAATAAAGTAGCAACAGCAATTCACATTTACAGAGAGCTATAAAGGTTACAAAATGCTTCATTCACAACTCTGGGAAGTAGGTAGAGTATGATTTATAATCCCTATTTTGTAGATGAGAAAGCTAAGGCTCAAAGAGGTTATATGACTTGTTCAGGGTCACATAACCTGCTAATGCCAAGCTCCTCCCTGCATCCTTCTTCCCCGGGATTCAAATCCACCCTCTTCCTGACTCATGCTCCTTATACCACATCTTGCTATCTATTTTATATACATATGATTTCTAACTGGAGAGGGCAGCAATACAGCTTCTGGATTCTCTATACACAAAACTTTATATAGGGAGGGCCCTCACACAACAGCATAACTCCTAGCATTAGTTAAGAAGATTGAAGGAAAAAAATGGAGGGATTGCTTTCTAGAGATTCTATCATATCCACTGCTCTAAATTCCCAGAACTAGGAGAAACAGTTGTGTAGTTTTTAACCTGGGTACATACATGAGGAATAATTTTCAGAATCTAAAAAATGTTCCCAACCCCCCATTCTTTTCCCTCCCTGATCTTCCTACGCTTATACTACCTTCAAAAGATGTGATGAATAGTGTGTGGTTTGCTGCAGCTCAGGAGGGAAGAGGAGGCAGCTTTTCATATACACTAGCTTTGAAAAGGAAGACGGTTAACAACAATGGAAATTTCTCTTCCTGGTGTGGCAGGCTGAAAATTTTCTTTTGATACCAGGTCACATTTTTAACAAATTTTATCTTCTTCTAGCTCTCAGGCAACTTTATTATCCAAAGCTGTTCAAAGGTATAATTATTTTTCTTCCAAAAATCCAATTAAAAAAAAAAGGCTGGGGGTAAGGGAAACCAGCAATGCAAAAGGTGTTTTTATATCTCACCTTTCTAGGCCATAAAATACAACAAAATATGGTGTTTATTCCCTAGCAGGAAATGCCACCTCTGATTTTACCATAACATGGTTATCTCTTCTCTAAATTAAGGCATATAACCCCAAAGATGCTTACATGGACATTTGCCCTGGTAGCTTAATGGCTGTCTTGCAGAATTTTAATGTCACTAGACAGACAGGTGGATGGTGGTTGGTAGGGATCACACCAAGGATCATTCCCTTGTAAGCATCTGAGACTGATTCAACTTCATCTCTTTGCTATTCTATCCCATTTTCCCAAGGTCCCAAGAGGGGAATGGCAGCAATGAGGAATCAGCTGTCACCACCACACTCTCAAGACTGTGAAGGTTACTGCTCTCAGTCTTCTATGTAGCATAAAGTCTTCTCTCCTTTCCAACTCAAATAAGTATGATGATAGAATGTCTATAGCCACCAAGACCTCCTAAGGCTGGAATGGTCAGTAATGGTGGAAAGAAAGCAAGCCAACATCGAGGAGGAAGCAAAATTCCAGACAACTAGGTAGATATCCACTGCTGATCCCTGGGTCAAACACAAAATATGCCACTGACGATTTGTTTTAATGATTCATCTCCCTCATATTTAGTGTTCATAAGATGTGGAGAAGAGAGTCATACAGGACAAGGCGTGGAAAGGGTGGGATCTACGCAGTTGGCAGGAAGATCCGCACTGATGACATCACAGATCGAATGGCATAACAAAAATCATGGGCTAGATAATCTTCACAGTCCCTGTCAGATCTAAATTCTGTAATCCTGTGTTCTTCCACACAGTGGGCTCCTGATATATCCTTCTTGAATGAATAAAAACAGCAAATTTTTCAACAAGGATTTGTTTATTGAAAAAGGTAAATAAATTTGACATGTATGAAGTATTAACTGAATTATCCCAACCCTCATGACCCAAAACAATTCATAGAATCATAGAATGTCACAGCTAAAAGGAAGACACAAATCA